GTGGGGGCTGCAGCCCCTCTGCCTCCCTGAAGCCGGCTGGGTGTCCGAGATCGCTGGAAGCCCTGCCTAGAGGTGTGACATCACGAGACCAGCCTGGCTTGCCGCAAAGGGCTCCACCCTGGAGGGGAGGCAGAGGGCACTGCTCTAGGTCAGGTCTCACTGCAAAGTACAACCCAGTAGGCAAACAGACTGCAGCGGTGACCGAAACTCCGCGTCCTCTGCTGCCCACTGCCCACTGCCCACTGCCCACTGCCCCGGAAACCAGGATCCCTGGGGCGCCTGCCCTGGGCAATGGAGTCAGCTCTCCTCATGGCTAAGTTATGAATAACATAAAATTGGCCTTCTCTGACCACACGTAGTACAGTGGTTAAGAGGATGGAATTTAGAGAATTCCGAGTATCGGGTCATCCTAGCGTCATGCTAGCAAATCTCAGCTTGTCACCACTCAGCTGTGAGAACTGGGCAGGTCCCTGAGCTCACTGCAAATTGGGGATGAGAATACTGACCTCGAAGGATTGCTGTGAAGATTAAACAAAATGACCTGGGTGTCTCAGGCACAATGCCTGGGAAGCAAACGTAGGAGCTTGAATTTGTTTTCTTTCTTTCTTTCTCTTTCTCTTTTCTTTTCTTTTCTTATCTTTTCTTTCTTTCTTTCTTTTCTTTTCTGTGCTGGGGATCAAACCCAGGTTGTAGGAGCTTGAATTTGTTTTCTTTCTTTCTTTCTCTTTCTTTTCTTTTCTTATCTTTTCTTTCTTTCTTTCTTTTCTTTCTTTCTTTCTTTCTTTCTTTCTTTCTTTCTTTCTTTCTTTTCTTTTCTGTGCTGGGGATCAAACCCAGGGCTCTGGAAGGCTAGCCATGTGCTCTGAGTGACACCCTAGGCCCCCTAGGCTTAATTTCTTTCTTTTTTCTTTTTGAGTTTGTGACACAAGATCTTGCTCATAGTTCAGACTGGCCTTGAATTCACTATGTAGCCTAGGCTGGCCTTTAACTTGCAGCAATCCTCCTGCTTCAGCCTCCAGAGTACTGGGATTATAGCCATGTGCCACCATGCCTGGCAGGTTCAACTTTCATGAAACAAAATACAAATATTGCATAAGAGAACTCTAATATTAATAATGATAAACTAGGCATGGCATGGCAGTGTAGAGCTGTAATCCCAGCTACCTGGGAAGCTGAGGTGGAAGGATTGTAAATTTGAGGCCAGACAGGGCAACTTAGCAAAATCTTGCCTCAAAAAAATGTTTTCCTTTAAAAATATTTTTACTTAAATAAGTTTTTAAAAAAAGAAAAGAAAAGAAGTAAATAAAGTCTGAAGTCTGGAGAGGGCCAGGATTTAGCTCAGTGGTTTGGCCACCTGGCTCAAAAGCGCAAGGTCTTGAGTTCGATCCCTGGTACCAAAAAAAAAAAGCCTAGAGGTACAGCTCAGTGGTAGAGCACCTCTGAGTTCAATCCCTAGAACTGCAAAATAAATTAAATCAATAATGATAAATTAAGTTCTAAGCCTTGCATTTTTATCACAGAAGAATAGCGTAGAGTCCGTCCTGGCTTTCCTTTACTCAGTGAGTGTTTTGAAAGCCAGTGGGGAAGTGCCCCATGGGCCAGAAGGCTCCTGGAAGTGATGTGAGGCTCCTCTTCCGGAAGCAGGGGGCTAGGATGGGGTAGAACTGAGAAGAAAGTGTTATCCGGTTACTCCAAAAGCCAGGGCATCCTTTCTCTCTTCTCTTTTTTTCCTGATCGTAACTCTTTGCTACTCACATTAAACCTCTTCTTTATCAGTTAATTTCTGCTCCTCCTTCTGAGCCAGTTCAGGCTTTATCCCTCCCAGGGAAGCTGACCCAGCCAGCCCAGCATCCTCCTCAGGGCATAGCAAGGCCCGTCCTGTGTGCTCTCCTAGGACACTGCCCCCACCTCCTTTTTAATTTTGCCACAGCATCTCCCTAAGGTAAGTTGTACAGGCTGGACTCAAACTTGTGATCCCCCTGCCTTACTTAGCCTCTCCGAGTACTAAGATTACAGACATGTGAACCATACCGAGCTCCTCTTTTTTTTTTTTTCTCATACTGGGGATTGAATCCAGGGCTCCTGCATGCTAGGCAGGCACTCTACCACTGAGAGACACCCCCAGCCCGAAGGATAAATTTATAGTCACCCTCTGCCTGAGAACCTTGGACCAGCTGGAGCCCAGTCTCTCCAGCCAAAGACTTCTTAGTTTTCTTGGTTATGTCCTTCTGTCATCCCTTGTCCCTCTTTGAGCTGTGAGATGTTGACCAGAGCCTGGGCTAAAGGGCAAGTGGGCAGGATTGGGCCACAATACATAGACCAAGGAGAGGGGTGAGGTCAACCCTTCCCCTGACCAGGAGATTGAGGGGCTCCTGGGCCCAAAGAGAAAGACACTAAAAACGAAGAACTCAGGGAGGGTGGGACACATAAGTGTGAGCAATGTCGTTCCACACCCCAGCACTTGGGAAGCTGAGACAGGAGGATCTAGAGTTTGCAGCTATTGCCAATCAGTTTAGGGTTTTCTACTGGGTGCTAATGTTGCCTGCTGATTTCTATGATTCTTTGATATTAACATCCTTGAGTGGCTTTTGTCTTTTCTTGAAAAAGATCACTATCCACCCTACTTAGGATAAAAGCCCCAAGTAGATTTACACTTCCTGAGAGATGGCAAACAGGCAGAATTACCAAAGTAAACATTCTATCAAGGTCTGTCCTGCAGAATAGGAGGCTGCTAGAGAAATCAGAACCCTCCAAGACTTGTAACCTAAGGAGCAGTGGAGGAATGGGGTTTATATAGCAGCTTGCAGACCTATTTCAGTGAGGGTCAGGCTGAAAGCTTGTTATGTATGCTGGGTATGCAAATAAGGGGCCCTGATCCCTCTCTTCCTGATCTTAGCTACTCCAGGGTGCACCCCTTCTTCTTCAAAAAGACAACAGGAGGGGCTGGGGATTTAGCTCAGTGGTTTCGCCGCCTGCTGCACAAGTACAAGGACCCGAGTTCCATCCCTGGTGCCAAAAAAGAAAAAAAAAAAGGCAACAGTACCCTTTGAAATGGCAGGAGTCTCCAGACTGACACTGTGGTAGCCAGAGAGGACTTGGCTAGACAGTCAGGAATGACACAGGCAAACTGTCCCAGTCCATTGGGGTCAAGGAGGAACAAAGGGAAGGGGGTGGAGGTGGAGCTGCTGGTTGGGAAATAGAGGTGGGTGGAGGGGCGAGGAGAGAGTCTGGTGCACAAGGCCAGCCTGGGCTATATAAGGAGACCCTGTCTCAAACAAAACAAACAGAACAGGCCCGGGGATTTAGCTCAGTGGTTTTGCCACCTGCTGAGCAAGCCCAAGGACCCCAGTTCGATCTCCAGTACCAAAAAAAAAAAAACAGAACAAAACAAAACAAAGCCTGTGATCACACAGCCTCCAGGCCCCCTGGCTCAGGGCTGCACCCTGAGGCACAGGGCGCCCTTGGCTTCTTCTTCAAACCCCCAGCCGTGTCCCCGTGTCATGGTGGTGGTGGTGGTGGCGGGGAACCATGGCAACCAACCATGAAGGGAGACTCATCAAAAAGTCTGGAAGAGACCTGGAGAAGGCCGCTGGCCAGAACCTTATTCAATTTATTCAGCAAACTCATTTAGCCTTATAGAGTGCTGGGCACAGGCTAGGCCCTGGGGACACAGAAATGAAAAAACCAGTCCCAGCCTGTGGACACCCACAGGCTTCTAGAGGAGGCCAGGGAGCTGACCCATGCTGGCAGAGCCTGGCGGGGATGCTGGGATGGAGGGAAGCCAGGACCCTGCAGGAGCCAAATCAGGAACAAAACCCCCAGGAGGCCAGACCTGCAGGGATGCAACCTTTGACCTCAGGCCAGAGAAGGGCAGGGTTGGCCAAGCCCAGAGTAGGAGGGGAAGCAGCATTTCTGGCACAAAGAGAAAGAGGCTGGTATGTTGGGGGAGGCAGAGGAGAGAGGAGTGTTGGTAGAATCTTGAGTATTTTAGTGTGCCTGTTTTCCCCAAGACATGCTTTTGCTATGTTGCCCAAGCTGCACTCAAACTTGCAATCCTCCCCCGTTAGCCTCTCAAGCACCTGGGATTACAGGCTTGTGCTGCTGTTTCTGGCTCAGTATGCTTCCTCAGGACAGATTATCCATGGGGTAGCTCAGTTGTAGAGCACTTGCCTAGCACGTGCAAGGCCCTGGGCTCAATCCCCAGAACTGCCAAAACCTTTCCAAAACTTTTTGGGAACTTTGGAATTAAGGCCTAAAAAAAATAAAATAAATTTAAAAAAATTCCATGACTGCATGATCTCAAATCTTCCTAGAGCACTGATAAGCTGATGGCTGGGCATGGTGATGCATGCCTGTGATCCCAGCACTCAGGAGGCTGAGGCAGAAGGATAGCTGCCAGTTCAAGGCCAGTCTAGACCACACCGTGAGACCTTGTCTCAAAAAAAAAACCAAGCTAACATATGGATTCCAGATACTTTAGAGAAGGTAGCTCTGTTTGATGTATTATTTACTACTGAGTAGATCCTATTGAGTTCTCTAAATTTAGATGCTGATATTTGGAAGAAGCAAGTCTGGCCTCAAAATAAAGGGCCGTGACCTAAAGGAACAAGAGCAGTGAGGAGGCTGTTCTTTGAGCTTGGAAACTACAGATAACAGTTTAAGAGAACATTCTGAGAAATGGGCCACACTCAGAGCTTGTGCGCTACTGAGTTCTCAAAACAAAACACTCCAAAAACAAAACAAAACAAAAACACTCTAGGTGCGCTGGTTTTGTGACTCATTCTTGTACACAAACTGATGGATTTGTCATGGAACCAAAGACAGCCGTTTTTAGAGAGGATTCTGCAAAACCTGGTGACCATCTAACAGTGAAAAAATTTTTATTTGTGATATTAAAGAGGATACAGAAGAATATAATGTGACAGACTACTTTAAAAAATGAGACAAGATTGAAACCATAGAAATTATAGAAGACGGGCAGAGTGGGAAAAAGAGAGAAATGCTTTTGTAACTTTTAATGATCATGATATGGTTGATAAAATTATTGTTCAGAAATAACACTTGTTAGTAATGGACATAGTTGTGAAGTGAAAAGTCCCCCCCATGTTTTAAGACAAGATCTTGTTATGCAGTTCAGGCTGGCCTTGAACTCACTGTATAGCCCAGGCTTACCTCGAACTTGTGGCAATCCTCCTGCCTCAGCCTCAAGTGTACTGGGATTATAGGCCTGTGTCACCATGCCTGCCACAGAAGACTTTTGAAACAGCGGAAAAGGGCTACAGTCCTTAGCAGGAGAGAGCATGAGGAGCCGTGAGGAAAGCTGCAGGTTTCTTTGAGATGGGTCCCAAATGCATTAGAAGAACTGTAAAAATTTGTCACAGGAGGAAGGATGATTCACAGGTAGGGAAGTTATTACAGCTTAAACCGGAAACCCTTCTGATTCAGCCGTCAGAGCCACAGTTTGATGAATGCAACATAGTGTTGATTAGATGCACCTTCCCAAGGTCTTCTGTCTATCCCAGCTTTGTCTTTCTCTTTACGCTGCATCAGGTACACTGCCCAGCAAACTGTAGTAGTGGTAGCAAGAATAAGAAACCAGGGCAAGGATTTAGCTCAGTGGTGCTGCCGCCTGCCTCGAAAGTGCAAGGTCCCGAGTTCGATCCCTGGTACCAAAAAAGCCCCAAACAAACAAAAAAGGAGAGTAAGAAATTAAGGCATTTTTAACTTTTCAATATTTGTGTAGTTCAATTTTTCTACATTTTAGTATAGAAACTTAAACAAAATGCAGTTTTGGGGCCAGGGATTTAGCTCAGTGATTCTGGCGCCTGCCTTGAAAGCGCAAGGTCCCAAGTTCAATCCCTTGTACCCCCCCTGCCAAAAAATGCAGTTTTGAAGGTGTTTCTTTCTGAGCTAACAAGAAGGTCATTGTTAATTACTATTTTGTATGAAAGTTGTATCATTAACTGTAAAGAAACTCCCAATGACTTAAGGGGAATGAATCTCTTCTCATTTCAAACCATGATGTGAGTAGGCACTGACATGGAGGGAACAGGTACTTGTATGTTTGCAATGTGTGTTTTAGATACACTAGGACTGAGTATTTAAATTAGCGTAATTCAAAAGGCTGGATTTAGCTCAGTGGTGCCACTGCCTGCCTCTAAAGCACAAGGTCTGGAGTTTGATCCTTTTTTTGTAACTTTTGGGTACAAAAGAAAAAATATCAAATAAATTAGCATAATTCTGCCAGGTGTAGTGGCACCGACTTATCATCCCAGCACTCAGGAGGCTGAGGCAGGAGTTTGAGGCCAGCCTTGAGTTTGAGGCCAGCCTGAACTACATAGTGAGTTCAAGGGCAGCCCCAACTACAGAGCGAGACTGTCTCTAAATAACTAAATAAACAAGCATTAAGATTACCTTCAGGGCCGGGGATTTATCTTAGTGGTTCCGGCGCCTGCCTCGAAAACGCAAGGTCCAGAGTTCGATCCCCCATATCAAAAAAAAAAAAAAAAAAAAAGATTACCTTCAAATAAAAAAAATCTCAAAATTCAAAAAAACAAAACAAAACTAGATGTTAACTTGTAGGAAATTGGTAAGTTGCAAATAATTTTTATCTGGTTAAAAAGACAGTGTCAACCCCAATCAGCCTCTGGTCACCGTGGAGATGGAGGCCTGGAATGAAGCCTTGAAGTTTTCAGGACGCCTTCCCTTCCCTCGGGCGTCTGCCCTGCTCAGAGAGGACCGCGAGGCTGGCACGATCATGCACCTGTGTCAAGTGCCCGAGCGCAGCCAGCCAGGGTCTCAAAGCAGTGGCTGCAGCAGGGGTCGGGCCAGACCGGTGGCCCGGAGGAGGCAGGGCTGTGACGCCCAGGCACCGGGCAGGAACGCGGGCTGCCTGCAGGGGGCGCTGCGGAGTGCCTTTCTTTGCTCAGCTGTGCCCGGGAGGTATGCAGAACGCGGGGAAGGGCACCCTAGCCGGGAAGCGGCTCCCTCTCAACGGATGAGGAGCCAGGAGCTCTCCGTGTGTGACACGACATCAGAATGCACACGCCTGGGAGCCGTCCTGTGACTCAGTGTCCCTTTACGTCGCTGCTCAGTGTCAGCACACCTCTCTGGGACCACAGCCTGGGACTACAGTGTAACCTCGCCATGCTTTGTCTGCAAAGTACAGCTCTCCTAGAATGGAGACTTCGGGGTGTGCAGGTGGGAAGCCTTTTTGCTGCAGAGAATGAAAGGGCCATGCACAAGTAAAAGGGGGAGTGGGGGTAGCTCAGCGGCATGGCGCCTGCCTGGCAAGCATAAGGCCCTGAGTTCGACTCCCAGAACAAAAAAAAAATGATGCCAAAAGTTTCAGTGCTATTGTCTTACAGATTTTGTAGCCAACCTTGTAATCTTACTGTAACATTCTTTTCTCCACTTGACTATATCCATGGCCTCTGTCCTTCCAGCTTCACACTTCTTAATAAGTTAAGTAAAGCTTGCAGCGTGTGTGTGTGCGTGGGGGGGGGCAATGTAGAGTGCATGCCTAGCATGTGCCAGGCCTTAAATTCCATCCCCAGAAATGAGAACAGGGAGACAGAGACAGGGAGATTTGGATGTGTGCTTAACATTCAACTTTGTGGAATTATACTTTCACAGGATGTATAGAGCTCACCACGGTAAGGAGGGCTGTGTAGAGAGAGAAGCCAGGCAGGTGGCAAACACTGGAAACCCAGCTATTCAGGAGGCTGAGTCAGGAGACTGAGACAGGAAGACTAAGTTTGAGGTAGCCCAGGCAACTTCGTGAGTTCCTGCCCCAAAACAAATAAAAAGGGCTCTGGGAATGGTGGGGACGTAGCTCTGAACTAGGGTACTAGGCCAATATATTGGGAAGATAGGAGTTCAATCCCTAGTACAAAAAAAAAAAAAAGAAAGAAAGAAAGAAAGAAAAAGAAAAGGGAAGAGAGTATATGCTTAATTTTATAAGACATTAACAAACTAGGGCTGGGGATTTAGCTCAGTGGTTCCGCCACCTGCCTCAAAAGCACAAAGTCCTGAGTTTGATCCCCGGTACCAGAACAGAAAATATTACTGTATGTCACACAGTAGAATGTTACTAAGCAACAGTGAGGAATAAACGACTGGCAGAAGAAACACCATTGGCTCTCTGAAGCATTACCTTGGGTACAAGTCCCGATTGCATAACTCAGCCTTGACAGAGTGACCTGGGGCTGCATGGGAGCAGAAGAGTGATTGCAAAGGGGCTCGATTGGGAAACAGTGAGATGCTCCTGGAGCGTTTGTGGTGGTGAGCACAGGGTTGCAAGCTTGTGCCAAAGCTCCTTGCAATGTATGCTTCTAATGAGTGGTTTTTGTTTTTGTGTGTGTGTGTACCAGGGATTGAACTCACGACCTTGTGCTTTCAAGGCAGGCACGGCGCCACTGAACTAAATCCCTGGCCTCAAATGAGTGATTTTTACTGCATGGGAACTGTATCTCAGTGAAGCTGAGAGAGGGAGAAAGAAGAGGAGGGTGGAGGAGTGGAAGCAGAGGGAAGGAGAAGGGAGTGGAAGGAAAAGGGCTCCAGGTAGGGGCACCAACTTAAGGGAGGGTGGCAAGCAGGAAAAGATGTCCTCTCTCTCTCTCTCTCTCTCTCTCTCTCTCACAGTTTTTTGACACAGGGTCTTGCTATGTAGTTCAGGCTGGCCTCAAACTCACAGCAATCCTCCTGCCTCAGCCTCCCGACTGCTGGGATTACAGGTGTGCACCACTACAACTGCAAGGTGCCTGTTCTTTTGGCCCCAGCTGAGACCTGCAAGGAGCCCTTGTTGGCTGAGGTGGGAGGAGGCTCTGTGTCAGTCAGGTGCCCTCTCGGTGTCCAAACCACCTATCTCCCACCTTCTGGTTCACAAAGAACACAGAGCGCCCCCAGAGTCCGGGCTTCTCCCCTCCTCTCTGCTCTCCACCGCTATGGGCAGCTCTTGAAGGCTTTGTGGGTCTCAGCTCTTCTTGCAGAAATAAAGCTCTTGGGCCTTTCCCTGGGTCCACGCACAAGGCTGCTGTGAGGTTGAAATCCGAAAGTGCAGTGCACACCTGTAATCCCACTACTCCGGAGGCTGAGGCAGGAAGACTGCCACAAGTTAGAAGCCAGCCTGGGCGACATCGTGAGTTTAAGGCCAGCCTGAACTACACAGCGAGACCCTGTCTCAAACAAAACAAAACAAAGTTTTAAAAAATAAAATAAAATTTAACTTTTAAATTTTGAGACAGGTTCTTGTGAAGTCGCTGGTGGCCCAGGCTGGGACTGGAACTTGTAATTCTCCTGCCTCTGCCTCCCAGAGTCCTGGGATTGTTGACATACGTGACCACACCCAGCTACCAGCTAACATTTATTGGGCATTCGCTGTGTGTCAAGCACTGTTCTAATTTATTTTATTTTATTTTATTTTTGAGATATGGTCTTGCCCTGTAGTCCAGGCTGGGTTTGACCTCTCAATCCTCCTGCCTCAGCCTCGCGAGTACTGGAATTACAGGTGTGCACCACCACGCCCTCTGTGTTCTAAATGTTTCCTGTGTGGCTGAGCGTGGTGGAACATACCTTTAATTCTGGCACTCTTGGAGGCTGAGGCAGGAGGATTGCTGCGAGTTCAAGGCCAGCCTGAACTACATAGCAAGACCCTGTCTCCAAAAAAAAAGGTTTTCTATGCACTAACTCATTTAATCCTTCACCTCCGCATTTTACACATGAGGTAACTAAGGATCAGAGATTATGAACTGGCTCAAAGATGCATAGTTGCAAGGAGAAAAACCTGGATTAAGGTGTCCCATCCCCCACCCTGTACTGAACCCAGGCCCTGGTGCGTGCCTGGCAACTGTTCTACCACTGAGCTACAGCCAGGGCCTATTCTCTTAACCTAGATATCAGTGGTTCTCGAACTCTTTTTGTCTCAGACCTCCTCATCCTCCTAAAACTCCTTGAAGATCCCAAAGATCTTTAATTCAAGTGAACTATATTAATTTCTTTTTTTGGTACTGGGGATCAAATTCAGGCATTTGAGCTTGCGAGGCAGGCGCAGAACCACTGAGCTAAATCCCCAGCCCTATATTAATTTCTTTTTAAATATTACATTAATTTCTATTTATCACATTAGATATTAAAGTTGAGAAATTTAAAAATATCTACTTAACAATAGCAAGGCATGGTGGTGCATGCTTGTAATCCCAGCTACTTGGAAGGCTGAAGCAGGAGGACCACAAATTCAAGTCCAGACTGGGCAAATTTTTAAAAATCTGTCAAAAAAAATGTTTTAAATAAAAAAATGAAAAGAATGTGTCTAAAAAAACAACACAAACCTTAAAGAGCTGAGGATGTAGTTCAGTGGTCCTTGTGTTCAATCCTCAGTACTGGGGGGAAAAAAAGCTACACATGATGTAATTCAGCACTCTGGAAGGCTGAGGCAGGAGAATCCCAATTTTTAGCCCAGCCTGGGAAATTTAGCAATTTAGCTAGATCCTGTCTCAGAATAAAAAAGGGCTGGGGACATTGCTCAGTGCAGAGGCCTGGGTTCAATCCACAGGATTAAAAAATAAAT